TCTGGGTCCCTGTCTGCCCTTGTCTCAACCCTGTTCACGGTGGTAGACTCAGATAAATGAGGACTGAGTACATGTCCCCAGGGACACACACACAAACACACACACACACACACACACACACACACACACACACACATACCCTGACTTAAGTCGTGTGCTAAGTAATGGACAGGGATGCTGAGTCTCATGCCCAAAATTTCCCATCTTTCCTGTAACCAAATTCTTTTCAAATAGAGCACAGGGCCCCGAGGCAGTGGTCTATGTGCCACGGAATCTTGGGATGCTATTAAAAGTCTAGATTCCCAAGTTCTGCCCCTTTCCAGTACTGGGTGGGGAGAGGAGGCGGCCAGTGGAACAGTGGAATTAAATACAGCCAGCACCCTTTGCACTCCTCACTGTTTGGAAATGAAATCACCCTTATTAAAAAAAAAATGCTGGCCTGGGTTTTCACTGAAGTTTCCACGGGTTCCGAGTGCCCCACCCCCTTCCACCAGCTTGGTTCCACTTTCATCTCAGAGCAAGATTCTGGGTGTGGATTTCTGCTAAAGAAATTAGAAGTGTGTTTGGGGGCCAACCGTCCCAGGTTCTGTGAGATGCATAATGGCTTGGGTTGGGGACCACTGTCTGCATCCGGCCACTCCGAGAGCAGGTTGGTGACAGAAGGAACAGACTCTCTCTAGTGGACCCCATCCCCGTGACTTCCTAAGCTCCAGTGAATTCCTGGGAGACTGGGACTGTCCCTTGTGCTGGTGCTGCCCCAAGTGGCCTGTGAGGGGCGCAAGAGAGCCCCCCCACCCCTCCACCCAACCCCGGATCCGGCAGGCAGGTGTGGCCTCCCTGCAGGGCTGGCGCTGGGAAAGAGGCTGCGGCAGCCCAGCATGTGGAAAAGCAGGAAATCAGCTGTGTGGGTGAGCGAGGCGAGGATTGCTGTGTGGGTGAGCACCAGAGAGAAAGACATGAGGAAAAGGAAGGAGGACAGAAAGTGGCTGGGGCTGAGCGTGGGCGGGTGGCAGTGGGTGCAGGCACGGAGAGAGTGTGCGCGTAAGGGAGACTGCAAACTGGAGGGGTGGGAGCCAGGGAAAAAGGGGGGGCAAGAGCCTGCTTTTAGCCTGCGCTGGTGTGTTTGCAGGCAGGACGGCAGCTTGGAAGGCACGTGCGTGCCGTGAACGCCGGTCATGGGGGGTGGGGGGGGTGGGGGGAGGGTATGCCAGTGTACACACCATGCACAGGTGAGTGAGTGGGGTCATGAATGTGTACGGGTGTGAGTCTCTACGAGTGTTCTACGAGTCAGAACATGGGTGTCCACCGGGTACATCCATGTTCGTGTTTGGGGTACACAGGAGCATGTGTGCCCTGTTCCTCTGCCATGCCCTCCCATGGCCGTCCTGTGGCATGGGGGTGTCTTGTGCCTGTCTTCTGACCTGTCCCACTCTTCCGTAGCCCTCAGCAGACTGGGCCCTGGTTCTTGGCAGAGTGAGCACCATCAGCAGCTCATCATGGGCCCTGGTCCCTCTGCCTCTACTGACCGGTCTGCCTGGGTGGGGCAGGGATCTTCCGATGACCCCGGGGCAAATCCCGTTCTCACCCCTGAGGCTTGGAGCAGTGGTCAAGAGAATTCCCACGGCTTCCAAATGCCCAGGATGTCACAGACTCCTAAGTTATGGAGAATGAGGGGGTGGTCAGCAGTAGACCCCAGGAATCCCTGAGTCAGCAGAGGGAGGGAGGGAAGGAGGGAGGGACTCGACAGAATCCCCCGCCAGTCCCCAGAAACTGAACAGCCTTTCCCAGCCCTCAGTGGGCAGAAGAACACAGCCGGCTGTATCATCTCCATTGGAGACAAGGCAGCCAGCCTTGGGGGGGGGGGGGGGGGGGGGAGGTGAGGTGAGGGGGAACCTGGGCCCAGACCACCCAGGGTTCGAATCCTGGTTCCTCCACTCACAGCCTGAGACTCAGGACAGCTCACTTCCATTCCTTCTGCCTTAGTTTCCTCATCTGTGAACTTCATGGGGTTGCACGGGGTTAATTAGAGCAGCATTTCTCCAGTCCAGGAGCCCCAGGATAGTCCATGGTGGAAACACATAAAATAATCTCATAAATGGGAGTCACAGCCTCAGACTAGGGAATCAGACAGGGGTGGAGAGGTGGGGGCTGGGCACAGGAAGGGAACAAGATCGGAAGAGGCGTGGCTGAAAAAAAGTTGAGGAACATGGGTTCAGGGGACACAATCTAGTCACCCGCTCCAAAGAATTTAGCACAGTGCCTAGAACCCATTGATCCCAGCTCTAGCTTTGCCACCAAACTTCTGTGGCACCTGGGACAAATCATCTGCCCTCTCTATGAGCCTCAGAGTCTCAGCTTCATCTCAGTGAGTCATGCCAGCTACAGCCAGCTGAGACTCTATGAAGACTCTGTGTTCCTCTCCGGGTGATCAGCAGACCAGCAAGTCCGGGCTGAACTTAGCAACTCAGCAACTCCTGCCCCAGACCCCCAGGGCTCCAAAACAATGAAGGCTGCAGGCCCAAGCAAGAGCACAGTGGGCAGGGCGCTTGCCTCGCACACCGTCGACCTGGGTTCGATCCCCGGCATCCCATATCCCTGAGCACCACCAGAAGTAACTCCTGAGTTCACAGCCAGAGGTGACCCCCTGAGTGTCGCTGGACGTGCCCCCAAAGAATCAAACAAACAAAAATGAAGACCAGTGTGGGCTCTAACTGAAGACCACCCAGATTTCCCCTTTGCTGCAGCCTCCATCCTCCCTGCACCTCCAAGGAGTCCTCCTGCCTGTTCCCTTGTCCTGAGGTGACCCCGGCACCTTCTGTCCCTCGACACGTGTGGGGCAGAATTAGATGACCCTGCACTGCCCGGCAGAGAGGACAGATCAGACTGTGAAACAAAAAGGAACCCTGTCACCCTCTGTGCCCCAAACACTGAGAACTCAGGAAAATGGGGAAACAAACTGCCTTGAAAGACTGCTGAGGGGCCGAGAAATGAAAAACACCATGTCAGGAGCCACCAGCATTCTGCAAAATGGCCCCTTCTTCTCCCATCTCCACCAGGGTCTCTCTGGTCCAGAACATCCACAGACAAGCACTGCACTGCACTGCACTGTCCTCCTGTTGTTCATCGATTTTCTCGAGCAGGCTCAGTAATGTCTCCATCGTGAGAGTTGTTACTGTGTTTGGCATATCAAATACATCATGGGTAGCTTGCCAGACTCTGCCGTGCAGGTGAGATACTCTCAGTAGCTTGCCGGGCTCCAGACAAGCACCTTCCCCTAATAAATCCAGGATATAAGGATGTCTAGGGCAAAACCCCATATTAAAAAAAAAAGAAAAAATCATGGCTTAGTGGCTTGGAAGCCTCAAATATCTGACAAGTCACTTATCTTCTCTCAGCCTCAGTTTTCTCTTCTGTCCAATGGGAACAGTAACACAATGTTACTCAAGGGGCTAAATATGAGAATGAAAAGAAACGATACGTGTAAAGCTCTTAGCATTGAGGGCTAAGTACATATGGGTTCAGCAAATGATAGCTTTAGGATCGTCCCACTGATGCTGACTGATCGTCTCAGTTATTACCAACCTCCCTCAGGCTTTCATCTAGATTACTCTGAAATTTCCAAGGCACTGTCCCAATTACAAGTGGTCTCTCTACGGCCCCACAAGTCAGACAGGGTTCATGAGTTTTTATCCTCAGATGAAGAAGCTGAGTCTGAGGACGGCAATTCTTGGCAGTTGGTTGCTCGGTACTGACTCCAGGACCAACCCTCTTGCCTCTTGGGCCATGGGCCGCGAGGGGAAAGGGATCACGGCTGGTCCTTCAGGCTCATGGGGACCAGGCCTGGGGCCGGCTCTGGTGTGAGGCCCCCCTCCCCCGTCAGTCACGACTGCGGGTCCTCCCGCCAACATCCTTCCCTCCCCAGGGCCAGCTCTCCTTGCTCCTCCCTACCTCCTCCTGTCACCCCAGTGGATAATGCAGGAACAGTGAGTGGCCTTGGGGGTGGGGGCGGGGGAGACGTGAGGCCAGAGCCTGCAGAGAATTATTTCAGAACAGAGAGTGGGTGGACAGCTGGTGTGATGCCAGCTAGGCATCGGCAACGCCTCAAGGAAAATGAAGTATTTCTTCAGTTTCCTGATGCATGGGCCCTGCCAAGCCTGTGAGCCCCGCATGCCCCGCACCCTCGGGACCTGTTTGCGCTGACTCCCGATAAGCCGAGCATGGCCCTGCGCACGTCCTCTCCATCTGGACCCTCTTGAACGTAGCCAGGAGCTGTTGGTGGAGGTGATTCAGTCCGGGGTTTCCCTGTCCCGCCCTGCCCCGACACTCCAGCCGCCGCAGGAAAACGGTCACTGCGCTTTCCTTCCTCCCCGCCCTACGACGTGCTGTACTCGGCCCCCACTGCAGCCCAGGTGACAGGGGCCTGCTCCTGTCGTCTCCAACAGAAGGGAAACTGAGGCAGGGTGGGGGAAACATGAACTCAGCTCAGCCAAGGCGCAAGCTGGGGGTCCTGGAGCAGGAGCTCCCCTCCGTGGACCTCAGTTTCCTCATCTGCCGGAATTAGTCACAGGCTCCAGCCTCTGGCTCTGCTCGACCTGGGCCAAGGTAGAGGTTGCACTGTCCTGCCCACGTCAGCAGCCCAAGGACATGCAGACACCAGCGCTCACGTGCAGATAAGCCTCCAGCCCCACGGCATCCGACTCCACTTCTGCTTGTCACCACGGATAACTGAAGGTCAGACAAAACTTGAGAGTTGGGCTTGGGGAAACAAAAACCCAAAAACCCCGGGTATGATACCCCGGCTGTCCCTCCCTGCTTTCTCAAGTGCACTCTCTGGCACGGGAGTTGGCAGGCTTGGAGGGCATGTAGTGGGCATGGCACAGGGCACACGGCCAGCCCTTCTCGCCACCACGGCGAGTGCAGGCACAAGGCACCTGGGAAGTACGGCTCTGGTCCCTGGGACCCCAAATTGAGGACTCGTGTCCCACGGGGAAGGGACTTACCTGCTTTCTGGACATCCCTGGGTCCCGGATTGGGGCTGAGGCTGGATGGCATCCTCCGGGCCTTGGCCAGGTCCCAGTCCTGGCTGGACAGGCCATCCCGTGGTGCGTCCCCTCGTGCCTCGCTGGGCCAGCTGGGTGTGTTGATGCCTCGGACTCTCGGCAGTTGGGGTGTCCCTTGGTCGGCTCCACAGGCAAAGCGGTCCCCGCTCCGGCGGGCTCCCGTCTCTCCCTTCAGGCCCTCAAGCCCCACCTCCCCCTGCACGCTGTCTTCACCCCCACTCTCCTCGGCCTCCAGGGCCAGACACCTATAGCTCCCGTCAGGGATCCTGAAGGTGCAGGGGGAAGACGTGTCTTCACTGGGCCCCAGGGGCGGAGGTGGGATGGGGGGGCCCAGCATGGTGCTGCCTGGGGGGGCACTGCTGTCCACTCGGCGGTGGCACCTCCACTGGTTGCTGCTTCTTCCTCTGCACTCGCGGAGCTGGGGCCCCCAGTCTGGGAGCCGTCCTGGGCTGTGCGTAGAGGAGGTAGGACCCCCAAATCCTCCTTTTAAGCCTGTCTCTGGTTGCTCTTCAGAATAGTCTATCTGCAGAGGGAGAGAAGAAACGGAGCATCAGCCGCCTCATGCGGTGCTCCAGCCGAACTTCTGGAAGCTGCCAGTCGTAGGGCGCCGAGAACCAGGTGGCCTTTCGGGTTCCGGTCCCACACATCCGCTGCCAGGCCCCCGGGCTTCAGTCATTGGACATTCCACAATTTCACCCCATTCTTGTTCTGCCTGACACTTTATTTGCGTAACATTATCCCTTAAAATAAACTTGAAATCACTTCTTTCTATTCCTGTTGACTTACCTTAAGCAATAATCAGCAGGAAAACCACAGGTATGTTATACTAAGCCATTTCCCCCCAAAGAGACAGTAAATAGGTGTCTGCTTCTTTGAAAACCTTTCTTTGGGCATAGCCTAGAATGAATTCCCTCATGTCACCAATGTCATAGACACCCTAAGAATCATGGGATAGGAAAAAGAGTTTTAAAAAAAAAAAGGTAGGGTCCTGGAGCCCTGAGGAGGCTGTGCAAACTTTCAGCTAGAATCTCGGTGCTGTAACCTGAGTGACCAGTCACATACCCTCTGTTCATCTCAGCTCCCCCATCTGTCAAGGGGGATGCAATACAATCTCCCCCCACTTTATCCATAATGCAATGCTTTGGGACCCACAGCAGGTGGACTCAGTGGAGTGTACTAGCCCTAAGCATATATTTCTCTAAAACACATATATCTGACGTGATTTCCTCGAGTAATGGAAACCACGAGAGGGATGCTACTGATAGAGGGGCATCTGTGGGACCTTCAGGGGTCTTGCGGTGGAGATTGAGTGAGCATGCCTGGGATCTAGCAGCTTCTGAGACATGAGTCAATGCGTGTTGGCAGCTCTTTCATTTCCCAAAAGTTTCCTGAGCTTCCGATGACCATCCAAGGGAGCGGGGACCCAGTGGGATCATGAAGACCCAGATCCCTGGTGAGGGAAACAAGATGGTAATAGCAGGACTATTTATAAATATTACCGGGGATGATCGTCAGGAGCGAGGGGAGAGACTTCCTGTAAGGGATGGAGGAGGGGCTTGGAGAGGAGCGGGTGGAAGAGCTGGCTGGGCAGGGAGGCAGATGGAGAGTGGGAGTGGAGGAAAAGGAAGGAGTCGGGATGCAGCCCAGGTTGTTGCTCTGGTGACAGGGAGTTGTTAATAGGGAATCAGAAGCAAATGGGAAGGAAGGAGCAGGTGTTCGGGCCAGAGAGGATGATCCCATCAATCAAGGTTTCCTGGGGGAGGAAGAGATGCGAGATCCATCTCCCAGACTCACCCCAGGCCTGGAGCTCATCTGACAGTCCCAGGCTGGAGACAAAGTCTGGAAAATCATTTGTGTCCCCAAGGGGTTGCAGATGGGCAGCTTCCCCAGGAAGGACAGGGGGGACCTGAGACAGTGCAATGGGGCTGTCCCACCCACAGTGAGGCTGTGAGAATAGTGAGCCTGCTCACTGGTGATGGCACAGCCTGAGCCTGGCTCAGCACCAGCTTTGAACCCCCCCCCCCACTGCTGCCAAGACTGGGACAAGCTTTGGCCCCTGGTGGGAGCTGTACCAGGAGAGCTTGGTTGGCACAGAGAAAGATAAGCACACCTGGCCAGAGCCAGAGTACAGCGGGGAGGGTGTTCGCCTTGCGCGTGGCCGACCTGGCTTAGATCCCCGGCGTCCCATAGGGTACTCTGAGCACCACCAGGAGTAACTCCGAGTGGAGAGTCATGAGTAACCCCTGAGCACCTCTGGGTGTGGTCCCCTTCCTGCCAAAGAAAATCAAAGAAGAAGGAGGAGGAGGAGGAGGAGGAGGAGGAGGAGGAAGAGGAGGAGAAGGAGGAGGATAAGTAAGCACATTACCTGCTCCAAGGGCAAGTCAGCACCATGCAGGGAAGGCCAACAAGCCCAGGAGCTGAGCAATAAGAAGCAACTAGCTGCCAGGCAGCTGGATCACCATGAGGTGTTCTGACCCACACTCACTGTGAATCCTGCTCTGTCCCGGGCTGCTCACAACTCCTCACAACCCTGTGATAGGTGATGTTCTCATTACTCTGTCCGAGGGAAGGAAACTGAGGCTCAGACCAGCCCAGAGACTGGGTGAGAGACAGGAAAAAGTCAGTTGATGTGGCTGTGTTTTTTTTCTCTCCTCTTGTGGATATTTGGTGGTATTTGAAAGGACCTGTGCACACATATGTTCACTGCAGCACTTAGTACAACTGCCGTCTTATCAAAACAACGTCAATGAATAGATCAAGAGTGTGTGGTCTACATACACAGTGGGCTACTACTCTGTTCTAAGGAAAAACAAAACCAGCTCGGAGAGACACCACAGCTGAGCTGACACAGGCAGGCCCAGTCACTGGGCCGGGATCTCTGGAACCTTCTCAGGATAGGGGCAGGCCCAGTCCCAGTCGATTGGGGGCCTAGCACTACACCCATACCTGACCTCCACCAGCATATAAAGGGCTCGATGAGCCGCCATACTGCTGACTCATCCCAACCCCACAGCTCCTGGAGCACACACCGCACCCTATGCAGCCATGTGGCATCCCCAAGTGTCACTCTACTGACAGCCCTGTAGGAGCACATAAAATTAGACGGGTTAAGTTGTGTAGAAGCCCACGAAGCTCATTGAGCCAAAACAGTAGCACAGAAGGCTCAACTAGAGCCTAAGAGCTCAGTAAATCCTCATACAATGACTTTGGTAGCATCTTTGTGAGATATATGGTGTAACAAGCAACAGAAAGTAAATCATTTGGGGTCAGCTCAGGGGGCAGGCTTCGTGGGTAACTGGGAGGGAAGGTGACGAGGGCCATTGGATTGGTGTTGGAACACTAGGTACCGGGCACAATTGTATTATGAACAATTTTGTAAATCACAGTCTTCTTCAAAAGCTTCAAACATGAAAGAAACATTCAACATGCAACCTGCCCCATCCTGGATGGAACTAGAGGATGCCATTCTGAGTGAAGTCAGTCAGGAGAGCAGGGGTAGACCCAGAATAATCTAGCTCATATCTGGGACTTAAAGATACATAACAAGGCCGCAACAATGAGCCGAAGGGGGCACGATGAAAGAGCAGATCCACACAGTTGAGTTGTTTGTGACTTGACAGGGAGGGGCACTGGGGTCCTCGGGAGAGGGAAGTGGCTCCACTGGCTATGAGCGTGATGCTGGAATTATGTGCCTAGGAAACCATCATGAACAGTATTCTAAGTCACAGGACCTTCATTGAGAAAAAAATTAATTTAAAAACATTTAATGAGGGGCTGGTGCGATAGGACAGTGGGTAGGGCATTTGCCTTGCATGTGGCTGACGCGGGTTAGATTCCCAGCATCCCATATGGTCCCCCGAGCACCGCCAGAGTAATTTCTGAGTGCATGGGCCAGGAGTAACCCCTGAGCATCGCTGGGTGTGGCCCAAAAAGCACTGTCACTGTCATTGTCCTCCCGTTGTTCATTGATTTGCTCGAGCGGGCCCAATAACATTGTGAGACTTGTTGTTACTGTTTTTGGCATATCGAATATGTCAAATATAGCTTGCCAGGCTTTGCTGTTCAGGCGAGATAGTCTCGGTAGCTTGCTGGGCTCTTCGAGAGAAGCAGAGGAATCGAACTCGGGTTGGCCGGGTCAGCCGCGTACAAGACAAATGCCCTACCCACTGTGCTATCCCTCCAGCCCCGACCCAAAAAGGAAAAAAAAATGTAATTAATTCATTTTGATTGAAGCAATACATCATATCAGTAAAAATATTAGAAATTTAAGTTAAAAAGTTAAAAAAAAAAAAAGATGGCATGGAAGTCAAAATCAGCCCCAGGCCAAGCCCTACACAGAGAAGGTGAACAGGGCCAGTGTGTCTCTCTCAGCGCCCCTCGGAGAGGCACCAGGAACCTCAGGCTCCGACTCAGGGCAGGAGTGAGAACACCCTGGGCCACTTCCTCTGAGGGCTGCAGTCAGGCTGCCAAAGGCACCCCTGTGGGCTGGGTCCGAGAAGGGGAGCGGGGTGGTGAGCCCCTGCCGTGTCTGGGGGCTGCGATTCTGCAGCCACCTATCCCCACACCCAGATGGCAGCGGGCGGAGGGAGGGGGCGAGCGCAGGGCCCCCTCTCATGCCCCACGGGGCCTCGCCTCCTCTGTCCCTGCTTCTGTTTTGCTGTATTTGACGAAGTCCACGGTTTCCAGGAAAGAAGAGAGAGGCGGAAAGTTAACTTTTCCGCCACCCACACAAATATTTTTGGCCAGCGCTGTCTTCCCGCTGCCAAGGCAAGGGGGAGGAGGGCTTGGCAGGGGGACTCTGAGTCTAGTCTCCCTCCCAGGGAGGCTGAGGCCAGGAACACCCACCCTGCCGGGGCCAGGAGGGGCAGCGCAGGCCAGGACCAGCCCAGGCAGCCGCCCTGATGGGGCATCTGCTAGTGGCCCGCACAGCCCTGCAACTAACAGGCCGGTGAGGGGAGTGCAGAGAGGCCAGCTCCTTATCAGCCTGGGGGTGGGAGGAGGGCAAGCATGGGACTCGAGCCACCGCCCACCTCTCCCTGCTCTACAGACTCCAACCCCCCGAGGGGGGTCCACAAGTCAGAGGCTCAGGCGCCGCAGGTCAGAATGGGCATGTGGCCACTGCGGATGGCCCCGTGAGAAATAGGAGGGGCCCTCTTATTCCAACCGTCCCGGTCATCTGACTTTAGGCCCCTGAGCCCGGCAGGATAGTCAGACGGAAGCCAGCGAAACCTCGGTTGTCCAGTGTGGAGTGCTGGGCCCAGGGTACAGTCAGGGGCAAGCCTGGAACTTGGACCCAGGACCCCACACCCCCAACCATGAGTACAAGCAGGGCCCCAG